CCGTATGAACAACTATCGGAAACGGCACGAACGTGTGATATGCCAGACTGGGGAGATCAACAGAACACCCAAGACCAACACCCCCAATGAACCCCTGCGGAACCCAGAACCAACATACAACTCGATCAACTACCCTTGGGTGGTGCGCAGGCAGTGTCTGTAATAGTACCATGAGTCAGGCCAAGGGGGTGTGTGTCCGACCGTGCATCAATCTAACGCCCTGCCGGTGTCCATGCGCAAGGCTGCAGGGTTTTGAACCCGCAACCTTATAGCACTATGCGCATTTCCAACCGGTGCTCTAACCACTGAGCTACATCAACTGGACGCCCCCCCTGAATCTCAATGAGCCTTGAACCTGTCAATTTTTGCAAATCTTGGTGGGCGCCAGACTGTTGCCGCGCGCCAGTTGGTTACATCCACCTTGCTCGTGAGAATCGGAAATATTGGCAAGCCTTCCAGGCTCTTCCAGCAGCGTGGTTAAAGCAGGGAGCACCGCACGTTTGTTTCTGGGTGGTTGGGCATGGCTAACCGATTCGGTCCCAGGCCACTGTCTGAACAGGCCTGTGCGCAGACACTTTGGCCGAGACAGAAGCTACTGGAAACTCGGTCTCATGGGCCAATCAAGTGGCAATGTGCCCGCTACTTTCCATAAAGGGCCGGGCTCCGTGGGCAACATTCGGGTACTTGGTAGAGCGGGCGGCAGCACTGCTGATACATGCTCAATTGAGCGATGTATATGGAACCAAGGATCCGCGAAGTGATGAAAAGGACGCAAATGGACAATGCAGCGTCAGCAAAGCATCAACAAGCAATGTACAGCAAGATGCACAAGGTAGCGCAACGGTAGACTCAAAGATGAGACCTGGTCTGATGAGAAACCCCATCATACACCACACATGTGAGAGTGTCCTCCTTGAGCACACACATGGGGAGATACCACAGATGAGGAGATGGGGGGAGAGGCGAGAGGAAGATAGAGAGGAGGGAGAAGACCAAGATTCTGATAGTGAAGTCGAAAAATAGTCTGGTCGGACGAACTGCAAGTCCGAAACGACGCCTGAACTGACAAACGAGGCCTGAATCTGGACGGAAAGGTGCTGCAGAACCATTGAGGGACTCTCATCTCCAAGGGAGAAGGTATGGGCAGAGACGAGGACCTTGATTCACGCAGAGATTTTTTGTACGTGGCATAGGACGAGACACTCCATACCAGATGACGAAGAGCAACAGAGAGAAACCAAGGCAAAATTCACTAAGGTGTGGCTTGCAGGGGTAAAGTAGCAGAGATAAATGACTTTCGTGGCAGAACTCAGAAGCAGGTTGGAGAAGGCAGAGGTCCCAGGCAGCAGATGGACAAGATTTATCACAGGGCACGTAATATTGAAGGGAAAATTCTGAGATTGCATCTTCCGTACCTTCTTTTACCTTTCTTGCTCTTTATGATTTATCTGACAGGTTCATGCAGTGGACCTGAGAGGAAGGTGGAAGTAAGGCAAGCTGACAGTCAATACTCCACGATGAGGGAGTAATCAATGCTGGTCAGTGTTCCTTCGGCCAGACGGAAGGAAGCATGAGTGTGTTTCATGCTGTAATACTTTATTTTGACTTGCCGGTGGAATAGGAACCGGACTGATGCGTTTTTGATCCAGGGGTTACCGAATAGGGGTTGTCTAAGGACTTCGTCTCTTCTTTTTGGGCCCAGTTTGTTTTCTGGGAAGATTTTTCTCCAAGTGCGTATTAGTTGTTCCCATAGGAATTTGGACTGTTCGTTAGGTGTGTCTTCCCCTCACGAAATCAGATGCCAAATGGGGGAATTGGCTAGAAAAAGGGATCTGGGGCTGAGCAAAGCAATACCTGGAAAACAGAGAAAAAACTGAGACTGATTCTCAAGGGGAACCATAATCTACAAGCCAATGTCTCACACATCATCGAATCCATACCAATGGAATGGAGACAATTATTAAGAACAGACCAAAACTGATGGAGCCTCCCTGACAGTGTTAGTGGTGTGTGCTCTTACCAGCACCCCTAGCAGCTGTTCGGGCAGTTTCAAAAAAAAAAAAAAAAAAAAA